TTTTTCTTCATATATTGAGCCCCGACAAGTATTTACATGGTTCAAGTCAAAAAGAAAATGAAGAAAGGAACTCCATGTTCGACTTTCAAAGAATCTTGGCATCGCTATGACTCTCTGAGCATTGAAACGCAAAAGATTGGTACAAAATTTATTGTATTATTATAAGATTGTATAGAAAGAACCGATCTTAGGTTACTGCTCGATGCTCAAGGATGTAGAAGAAGAGATTCAAACCATTAAACCATAAAGCTATAACGTCAGAGATGCAAAAAGACAAAGAAAAGAAAGTAATTTTTGAATTTGAAAGTACCTGTCGAGTATTGTCCCTTGATCCACAACCATTGACGACAAGTCTTTGAACAATGAATTCAATTCTCTAATGGATGAATTCACTACGAGAACCTGAAACGATTGCTCGAGTAAGGGAGAGGTCATAAAAAGAGAACAGTCATCACTAAGAAGTGAATATTCATCAAACTCCAGATACAAAACATATCACCAGTCGGTGTTTGATTCATTCAATTTCCCTAATTTCCCAATGCTTGTTGCAAAAAATATGGCCCCCTTTCGAAAACCATATGATTAAACGCAAAGAAAAAATGTGGAAAAATCTCGCTGTGATTAGAATATGCTTTCAAAGGCAAAAACATAAATAAGAACAAATCACCTCTTTTTCTCGTTCCTTCACTGTTTGTTCGTTCACCATCATCGCTTGTATTTGGTCCATAGTATATTCATGCGAAGGTGTAACGTCCACTAGCTCCTCCCATTGGAGATCATCAGACTGTCCAGTAGTAAGTAAAAAATTGTCCACATTGCTCGTTCGGTTCTGTGATGCGTTGATGAAAGCCATCAAATCAATTAAAACATGAAAATACGGCCAAAGAAAGGTTTGCAAAATAGAAAGCAATTGAACTTCAAATTCATTAAAATACCTTAATGTCTTTAAGATACTTGGACTGTCTCGTTCGAAAATCGTTCGTTATTTGACTTAACGTGAATATAAGTGCAGAAACTGTATTTTCCCGCAATTTCCTTTCAGAGTTGTTCTCGTTCCGCGACCGCTGATTTGAAATCATACTAAAATGGTGATTGTAATTTTGCCGATTGAATGTTTGAGAATTTAATTTGAAAGGAGGTAAGACATATCTTGTGGTTTGAAAGAAAGCAAGGTTTAGAAAAACCTCCTCTAAAAGACATTAATCACAACATACTTAATGAGTCGCTGGCAGTGTGACATCATCGATGTGATTTGCTCAGTGGTACTTTCCATTTGACGTTCTTCCGCCTCAAAAGCTTCATCGCCAAAATTAGGCCTCGAAATGTGCTTTTGTTGGGCATTGGCAAGCTCTTCTAGACATCTTCGCACGCTTAAATTATTATTGATCAAGTTTTGTAAGCTCACAGGAGTGTTAGAAAGGTAGAGATTAAGAAATGCTATGAGTTTTACGGCTTTTTGTCGCGAATACACCTGGTGTTTGCTTGAGATGCTTCCAAATTTCACTGACTAGTAATAATTTGGAGCGTAAAGTTTACTGGAATACTCCTCATGAAGATGAATGATTGAACAAACGATTAAGATGAATTGCTTGAAGATAAACTTCCAAAAGACGTTACAGAACAAATACAGAAAGATGCTTTCAAAGCGCTATCATTAATTTCAGTACCAGCGGTGAGGACAACTGATAAGTATTGGAACGTCTGGCAGAATCTCCTAGACAGATAAAAGCAGAGCGGAGATTTAAAAAAATTGGTACAGATTGCCAGAGCAAATATCAAAGTTCAACAATTTGAAAAAAAAAGTGTGCAAAGTCAAAAAATGACTAAATAATGGAATTTTTAGAATTCAGCAAAATAATAACTGTGAAAATAAGAACAGCAGAAAATACCAAGAACTGAAATGTTTAAGAAAAGTTCTACTATGCACGGAAAGCTTCTCACCGGCCAAATTCGAATTCTACTTCATCGCATGTGTGGATCCACATTGGTTGCTTGGATTCGTCATGCTCACCACCCTCTTCCAAGCTTACAAGGCTCATCTTCTCCTCTGTAATATCTGATGATATGCGGCAAATAAAGTTGAAGTTAGAATAGCAGCAAAGAGTGAGAAAAA